CTTTTTTTATTCTCTTTATTTCTAGCTTTAACATCTCCTCTACTTGCTTGAACATCTTTTGATTCCTTTCTCTCCATATTAAGTAAAGACGAGCATTTCATGCGACACGTAAAATGATTGAAATCAGAGCTCTCTCTTTTAGCTTTTTCTCAGTCCAATTTAACTCGAACAGCCCGGCACTCGATTCTCCTGTTGATCCCACACTTTTGCAGTGTCTTCCAAACTTCTTTAATAAACACAATCATAAAACATGTGATACCTTGACTCATGCTACAGCAATACCACAAACAAATGAATCGTGAAAACCTGCAAGGATTTGATCCAATTATCACATAACTCCTTGTTTACTCTATCCCCCCATCAATTTTTTAAAAGCCAGCAAGTCTGAACCGAATTACAGAGGCAATGAAGAAAAACAACTATCCTGTATTTCATTCAATTCATCATCTTATCTTAAAAATAGAAAATAGATTGATTTCAGGTTTAAAAAAAAAAACCAAAACAAAAAACTAACAATGCACAATCAAACCCTACCCTCTACATCCGCAACTCAACCAAAAACACTTACCCACACCCCAAACCACCAGGGCCTTTCATCATCATCCACCATTGTGACCTCATCCAAAAAAAAACAAACACATAACATCAATTTTAAAGCCTTTACATAGGGTTTTATCTGCCCTAGGTGTAGCATGTGTGCATCACATGTGAACTACATGACATTTAAAGTCAGAATTAATGATTTGAATGACAGAAGGATTGTTTTGTTTCAACGTTGAAAGTATTGGAGTAATAAATAATTACTTTCGAAAATTTTAGAAGTAAACTGATTAGGTTAAAATATTAAAAAAATCTCTAAATTATTATATTTTTTAATCAAGCTTTTATATTTTTATTGTATCTAAATAAGTTCTAATGCTTTGTTTTGTAGCCATATAAGTTTTTTATTTCAAATAAAAAAATGAATTATGTTAGATGCTTGTTTAAGCATAAAATAAAAAGTTAAGAACTTATTTGATTGTAAATTAAAAATTAAGGTTTAATATAAGGGTATATCTAAATAAAATTATAAAATTCAAGAGTTTTTTTTTTTAATTATTTTAGCCAACGGCTCAAAGTTTAAAGACCATAGATATAATTTACCCTTTTTAATTTGTCATTTGTCTCCACTCAATTATTATTAATTATTCTTTTAAACTAGGGTCATCCTTATTCAGCAAGTGGAATACGACCAAATATAAATAAAATCATTTCTAAAAAGGGAATACAAATAATATTATGTAAGTGGGATGATTTGCTCCAATATATAAAACTGCATAATTAATCTTTACATTGCCGTTTTGTATATTGAAATTTCTTGCAAAAAGAAGATGTAATCTTTTAGAATTTGTTACATATTGGGGGTGCGAATGTGATAAATTAAGCAACCAATGCAAGTGGGGTCATTTCAAAAGAGCTTGGATCCACTTTCATTCTGCCCTGAATGGCTATATGAATCTACATAACATTACTGTCAAATGGGATGGCAATAATTTCGGTAAGTTGACCCCAAAATCTTTGTTGATTGCTTAATCAAAAGCAGCAAGTAAACGACTAGACGCATTCAGATTAATGGTTCATCACATGCAAGGTTTGGCAGCTGCTGGAATTTAATTAGAAAATATCAATCCAAGTTGCTACAGACTACAGTTTCCTTTCCATGGAAACATTTTCCCGAAGGTTTTGACTGTGCTATGGATTTATGTACGTCTCATCCTCCGATTAAAATATGCAAGTGGGGTGGAGTGAGTAAAAGGGAATAAGATGTCATCGTATTTTCTTTTACTCAAATCAAAGAGACTAGGGAGTGGCTTTGTAATTTTTGGGTCTGAATTTTCTAATTGGGCTTGAATTTTTTCTGCTTAGTCCTTCTGATCCTGAAATTTAACTTATCTAAGCTTAAAATTTGGACCCGATAACTTGGGTTTGAAACGTAGGCCATGTGATCAAAAAAGCTGGGCTCAAATTGAATTATATCCCAGATTGAGGGCTTTGCTAGTTTGTTTTGAACAAAGGTTCCAAAATTACCGGGCTATATGGAACTTGGGATTACACGTTTACCTTGGAGAGTATTTTAAATTAGATCTGGTAAATTTAAAATCTGATACAAATATAATATGAAAATAAGACATAAATATGATACAGTATAAAATTTTAATAGTAATTATATATGAGTTTAATAAAATTTAAAAAATATATTTCATATTTTTGTGTTAACATGAATTGTAATATAATTTTCATGTAAATTACGATACAAATATATAAATTTTAATATTTTATAATATAAATACACGAATCACCAAATTTACTTTTAATTAGAACTTGGCATTGGTCACAGTAATTCAGGGATGTAGAATAAGTATTTCACTGCAAACTGTTAATGCAAAACCCTGAATCAGGGGATGAAAAATAAGCATTAATTGCAGGATAAATTCTTATAGTAGAAAACTCTTGACTTTTAACATTTTTGTGCATGAACTTTCAGCTGGCACTTGCATCTGGAGAAGGAGAACTTGTAGGGACAGTGAGAAAAGCTCAACTGCAGATCAACCTGCCCAATGTCAAGTGTGTGAACGCAAAGGGATTTCCTCTTAAAGCAGATAATATTCACCTCAACATAATATCTGACGTCAAGGTGGGTCTCAAGTGTGCTCGTGCATTTTTCAATTCCTTTGTACATTTGCTCTAATCAAATCGCCTTGACAAATTCTCCAGCACAAAAACACGATTGTGAATCATGTTTCAATTATCCAATATAGTGGAAAATTTTGCTACATCCTTGACTAATAAGGAAGAATCAAAATGAGATCTTGGCGCAGCCTTTTTTAATTTCTTTCCTTATCATGTTTCAATTTTTTTTTTTTTAAATAATCAGAGATTGAAGAGTCTATTACTTTTCATCCTTTTCATTTGTTAGAAATTTACTGTAGTAAGCAATTAGTAACCAACACAATTTCAAAGAAGACGGCTAAAAAGATGTAAACAAAGTGGATCCAATTGGAAAACAGAAAGGTGGTTAAATTATTTGGATTTGGTGCAAGATTCTGTTATGAATCTTGAAATTTTTTATGATACCCTCTTTAATTATTAAATTAAAGGTGAAAAAAAGCATAAGAGAAAAGATATAGAAAGAGGCTGTTAGCCTGGAAAACTTAAATTACTTTGATAGGAGGTAGATTTGGTGCAAGATTCTTTCATGAATCTTGATTATGATAGGGAAAGACTGGAAAAACTGGGAAATTGAAAGGAAAAGAATACCTACCCCAGTATATTTTGGTCCAAGATTCGAATCCTTTTGGAATCATGTTAATTGGCTGCCGACATGATATTAAAAAAATTAATCTATCCTTCTACTTGACTGCCTTCAAGGTGAAAACAACAGCAAGAAAACACAATAGTATTTGGTTAAACTTCTTGGACCTTGGATATGATTTTTTCAGTTCATGGTGTTTGGTCCTGTGATGGAAAATGGTGAGTTTTCCTGGAAATGCTGTGGCTTCAACTATGATAAATTAAAGTAGAAATCGGGTGGCTTAAGAAAGGGGGAAGAGTGAACTGTTTTTCGTCAAACACTTCAGATGGTTACGGGTTTCAAATTTGGTGGAATTTTAATGTTATTGTTTAAATTTCCTTCTAAAATTAATTAAAATAATTGAAAAGAGCATGTGTCTCGTTTGATTTAGCATACTCAAACAAGCATTGCATTTAATTTAATCAATATTACAAACTTGGTTCCAATGAATTTTAGTTTTTAAACAATTTTTATATTGGCATGTGTTTAATTAACCAACAAACATGACAAAATAGATGCAGCAAAGAGTGTCAAAAAAAAAAAAATTGTTTGTGAATTCACAAAAAAATAATATATATCTCCTATGCTTTTTGAGGACTGTTCTCTGTGGCAGATGAGGAATTCTAAGCCATAGTTTCGGTCTACATAGCACAATGTTCATCATGGATTTTGCTACTTTATCAAGATATTTGCATACCATATTATCCAACAATTAACCGAAGTTCTAAAGTACTGTAGAAACAATTAGTTCAACATTTTCCAAGCAGATCGTGTGGTGTTCACGTAAATTTGGAATCTCGAGTTGCCAGTCCCTGGGGCCATTTGGTAGCTGTCCTTTTAGCGTGTGGAATCTAGTCATAAAGTCAAATGTGTCAAATTTGAATCTGTGATGAAAAATATTAATTTTCTTTTGTTTTGTTTGATGCATTCGGTAAAGGCAAGCAAGGGGTGGAACTGGCGGGGCTCTAGAGGCGCCGAATGAGAAACGAGGCACGTGTTTAGCAATTTCGCAGCAATGCAAGCAGGAATTGCCATCGCATGCCAACATGAAACGTGCCCCAGGCCGGTCCCTCCTGCCAGCCAGATGAACAATGAACGGGCTATACCAGTAAATAGCAACCTTTCCCGCTTTTAGCACAGAAGCTTGCATCATGAATAGCTAGCAAGGTATGTACTAGTGTAATGTGAAATTTAAGTTTTGAATTCGTATGATTTTAAGATTTGAATATTTATTTATTTGATATTTTAGATTAATTTATTTATTATGATTCATATATTTATAAAATATTATTTATTTTGATTTTTTTAATTTCATAATTTTATCTTATAAAAAATATCTTATAAAAAAAAGATGTGTGAATCTTTTTATATCTTAGTGATTTTTTTATTATATTCGATGTGAGATTCATAATTTTTTCTTAAGTCCGTGACATTTTTCTTCATCTAATCTCGTCATGTTCTCATCACGAAGATTGCTTGCCTCTCTCGATATGTTTAATGTGGGTCGAACAGTTTAAAACTGATTCTGATATCACTTGTCACGAGTCAAAACTTAAGCTATGAACCCGCGCGACTCCGAGACTTTAACATCCACTCATTCGACGTTTTAGATCAATTTATTTGCTATGATTCACACACTTGTGAGATATTATCCGTTTTAATTTTCCTTTACCTCACGATTTTATTCTACAAAAGATACTTCGCAATAAAAAGATTATGTAAACCTTTTTATACTCTAATGATCCATTTATTATGTTCAATGTAAAATTTATAATTCTTCCTTAAATCCGTAACATTAAATTCTCTTCTTTGTTTCCTTTAAATCTTACCTTCTATTGGTTAATACTAAGGCTCTCAACATAATATTTTAGCAGGGAACTGAAAGGATAAATGAACAAGGAGCAATAGAAACCAAAGTGGATTCTGTAGATATACAATCACCACAAGGGGAAAACAAAGAACCCAGGATGAAGAACGTGGGAGTGGCTCACTTGACTCCTGATGGGCGCAATTCTGGAAACCCAGGTGGTGTTCTAGGCCTTCTGGCTGGTGCAGCTGATGCAGTAGCGAAAGGCTTTCAGTCTGCCGAGGATTGCCATTTCAGGCCGTGGTCACAGCAGCAACAAATAAGTGACAACGTATTTCCACTTGGGCCATAAATTCTGCATGCCATTTGATGTTGATAAATAAGTTTCAATATATCGAATAATCACATAAGGCACTGCCAATTGAAGGCAGTGGGTATTTCTTAATGGCTGTTTTCATTGGAGTCACAGCAGAGAGAGAACATCTAAGATACATCATAGATACATTTTTGAAAGCAAGATGAACATCTAAAAAGTATCAACTTGTCATGACTCATTGATACTAGCAAATTACAGTCTCAAGATTGAAGATCCTAATATATTATTCGGGCATTTCAATTACAGAGTGCTTCAATTAATTATGACCAAACAAGAGATATTGTGAAGCACGAGTAAAATCACCGAAAGTAAAGCCCTCTAGGGCTGCTACAACCAAATTGTAGTGCAACCCGAAAACATTTACCAGACACCAACCTCCATGAACCCATCCTCAGTGGCGCAACCCCTAAACATCCCAGTGGTGTTAAACCCACACGCCACCTCACCATTCTTTGACACAGCAATCAGCCCAGCTTTGCCTTCATCCAACCTATTCTTTATCACATAATCCACTGCCTCATGCAGATTCAACCCTTTGTATTCCATCACTGCAGCTACTTCTCTCGCCAGGGTGCTCCGGATGATTGCTTCTCCTTCCCCAGTGCATGACACCCCGCACAAGTCAGATGCGTAGGTTCCCGCACCTATAAGGGGCGAGTCACCAATCCTTCCTGTCATCTTGTTCATGAGCCCACCAGTTGAGGTGGCTGCAGCGCATCGACCCTCCTTGTCAACCACCACGCACCCAACTGTCTCTGGGGCGTAGACGCTGATTGGGAGCCCGTTCATCTGCAAAGGACTGTCCATAGCTGCGCCGGCACCGCAGGTGCCAATCGTTGGGATACGGTAATCAAACTGGCAAAAAGACAAAACTAGAAAAGGTTAGGCATGGTCCCACCACGTGATTTCCTGCATCAATGTCGTTCCAGGGAAAGTAATGCAAAATCAAACGTACCAGGATTGAGTTTGCCTCTTTTGCCAACTTAAGCATCCCCACATTATCTTCTGTAATAAAGTATTCGTTGTTCACCACCTCCACGCCCTGCACAAAATCCAACCCAATAAAAAACTAGGAACAAGATTAGAATCTAAACTCTCCTGTCACGTGTCAGAACATGAAAGCGTGTGGCTAAGTTTTCAACACGTGGAAAACGAAATCTAAGGGCTAAACTGGTAAAAACAAACCTGTTTCCTGGCAAACTCTTCGGCACCCGAAAAGGCCAGATACGAATGTGGTGATTTGTCCATCACAAGTCGGGCAAGGGAGACAGGGTTCTTAACCGTGGTTAAGCCAGAAACGGCCCCGCATCTCCTCTTTGGCCCGTCCATAATGCTGGCTTCCATTTCCACGGTTCCATTCTCCGTAAGGGCAGATCCACGCCCAGAGTTAAATAGAGGATCTGTTTCCAATTCTCTCACCTACCAAATCAGAATCCAATTTTATCATTTCCAGAAGAAAACGACGGAAGTAAAAAAGAAAAGATGACAAAATAAACTATCCCCATAGACATATACACTCGTATCTTCACCATTTTCAATTTTCACCAATAAAAAAAGTGAAATCTGATGTCTTTCCATTTTCTTTGTTAAAAATCTACTATCCCATTATCATATTTACGACATTTGTATTTCGTTAATTGAATAAAGGCTGAAGCGAAAGGAAGGGGTGAAAGAAAAGGGGGCATACGACAAGTTCAACGACGTCAATGGCGGGGAGGTTAGAGCGGAGAGCAAAGATGCCGATATCAAGGCATCGAGTGAGAAGCCTCTTGGCCTCCTCTTGTCTTTCTTTAGGGAGATTTGGGTCCACACCAGCGCCACCATGCACTGCGATTGCCCAGGCTCCCATTTTCCTCTCTCTGCCTCTTTTAACTCTGGCTCTGCCTCTCGCTTTCCCCTCAGCCTGTTTGGTGCTACATAAAAAACTAAACCATTGGGACTCATTTTATAAACTCTTACGGACTTGAAAACCCTCTGAATTAGATTGTAATCTCAGTTTTAAATATCGGTAGAATCAAGGAAGGAATCTATCTCTTTTTCAGTTCCTTTTCTACCTATCTCCCACTTGTTTTCCGAGAGAGAAATGTCAATCGGCTTTGTCTTTAATGAAAGTGTGGGACACCACTGTTTTTATGGACCGGTTTCATCCTTAAATTTTTACCATTTGGGAATTTACAGTCTGGCCTCTTTTTTTTTTAATATAAAACTTCTTACATTTTATTATTACTTTGATAAATTTTTATATTTTTATTATATTTAAATAAGTTTTTAACTTTTATTTTATAGCAAAATAATTACTTAAATTTAATTTATATTTGAATAAATTTTTAACTTTTAATTTATGTTAAATAAATTTTTAATATAAATAAATTTTTTATTTAAAATAAAGTTCTTCAAATATAAATAAAAAAATTTATTTGAATACAATACAAATTTTAAAATTTTAAATTTTAAAGACTCTTTTAATATTTCAACCAAGCAAAATGTGACAACCTAATTAACAATTTACTCAAATAGCACCAACCCATAAAAAAAAATTATAGGAAGATAATATATTAAATTATAAGTTTTATTTATATAATACATTGTTAAATACATAGATTTTACGAGATAAATAAAATATATTATATTATTTTATTAATGAGCAATATAATTGATTAAGGTGATAATGTATTATTTCTTATTAAATTTTATAAAAATAATTAATTATATACAAATTTTTTGTTAAAATAATATGGGTTATATTTATTTCTATTAATGAATTAGATGATACTATTTTCATAAATAAAATTAGTTAGATGATAACATATCATTAATGATTAAATTTTTAAAATAATATTAATTTTTTAGATATCTATTTGAAAATTTTATATTTGCTATTTAATGAAATGATATGATTTGATTTTTTTTACAGCATATCAATAAATCAAATAATATTATGTTATTAAAAAAATAAATATAAATCCTTAAAATAAATATACAAAAATTTAATATTTTTTAAAACATTAATCACTAATAAGATAATATAATCTAATTAACCTCATTAATTTAATAAAATCATTCAATTCACTAATAATATATAAAATTTATATATTAATAATACATTAAATAGAAATTTATAATATATAAAGATCAGTCCTAAATTATTATTCAAAAATGGGTTTTGGGTGTTACCATTTTTTAATATAAGTTTTTTGAATAGATTCTTGCATGGAAAGATGTGAAAGATTAAATAAATTATTGTACGGAGGTCCTACCCAATTTTTTTGGCTACATTGAACTTAGGCTAATAATTAATCATTTGTAGCCAAATGAAAGGAATTAAAAATTTAAAAAGCTACTCCTATTTGCAAGAACTAAGGTGTCTAATTAATTTGGCAAGTGCTAATTTCCATAAGGTTGTCCATTTGACTAAATAATTATTTTTGTTGTTTTTATATGGGATACGCATCACCTCAAGGTTGGAACTAGTTTTAAGAAATCATGTATGAAATACCTACTTTTCATTAATCAAGTATTTTTTTTATTATAAAAATGTATAAAAATTTTTTTAAAAAATAAAACTTTAAGCTTTTAAAAATTTAAAAAAAAAAAAGAGATTTTATTTTTTTCTTCTTCCTTTTTTCTTTGTTCCTTAATATTCCCATTTCATCACCCAATGTGTGTATTTTGGTTGCGTATTGATATTTATTATAGAACTTTTGTTAGACCAAAAAAAAAAACATTTTGTTATCATTTTAATTTTATAAATTAAGTAATAAAATTTTAATTTAATATAAATACCAATTATATAAAAGTTAATAAATTAATGCGGGATTCAATTTTAACAAAAATCGTGAATAATTAGGAGAATCGTTAATTATCACCTTCAAAATCAAATAATTTTGTACTTAAAAATTTTTATTATATAAATTAATTGTTTTTTTTAAATAAAACTATAAATCACGTATAAATCATGTATATATCCAAGAAACTAATAAAAACAAGATAAGCTAATGGTAAATTTTTTTTAAGTTAAAATTTATTTATTTCAGTAGATTCCTTAATATTTTTGTAATAAATAAATAATTATTTCTCATTTCCTACCATTTTTTCTTTCATATTAAATGTAACATAAGCTTCGTAATTATATGAAAATTACAATTTAGAATAATGAATTTGAATGTAGATATACAAGGGGATTATAAAATAGATATGCTAAAATTTTGGCTTTTATGAGGTCAGGGTTAGGGGTATAAATGATACATTAATATTCGTAAATTATTTAAGTTCGATTTGAATAAAATTTGAATTCGGTTTGATTATTATTGAGTCGAGTTCGAGCTCGAGTAGCTCGATTTATTGATCGAGTCGAGTTTGAGTATTCTTATACCCGGTTCGAGTAGCTTGCGAGTCTAATCGAGCTTTTATATTTAAAATTTTTTAATTATTTTAATTAATAAAATATTTCAAATTTGAGTTCGAGCACAAATAATCGAACTCTTGTCAAGTATAAGAATCGAGCTTATTTTAATATATTAATCAAGTTTAATCGAACAAATTTGAGTAGTTCGATTTCGATTTTGAATCAAACTCGAGCTAAAAAAATAAAACTCGATCGAATCGAGTCGAGTATCGAGCCTCGAGTTGAGAGTCGAGCTTGAGCTCGAACTTTTTACTGTATTGATTCGATTTGATTCGATTACACTCCTAGTTAAGTTGGATCCAAGTTATAAATTACGGTGTTCATGGAAACCTTTAAAGTTATTGAAAAATAAGAAAATTTGAAATTAAAAATTTTCAAAATATCCCTAAAATTTTTTATTTGTTATTTAATGATTAATTAGTTACATATATTAAAAAATATATATTTAATAGTATTGATAATGACGCAATTATGTCATTTTTTTAAGATACAAAAATTCATCGGATAATTGTAATATTATAACAAATTATTATTTCAAAATTTTGTTTATAATTTTCTTTTACAGACATCATTAAAAAAAAAAATCATAGATCCTTCACCATGTGAAATCCTATTTGTGACCACCTATTCATTGACAATGATACAAGTTATAAAGGCCCATTAAAAAGATCAGTTTCACAAGCATTTTCTGAGTAAGCCATTTTAGAAATGTTGTTGTTGTTTTTTTTTTTTTTTTTTTTTTTTTTTTTTCACTTTAGGGAATAATAGGAATGCACACACACTACCATATGTTATAGCCAGAATTTTAGCTACTTTGCATGGATGGCAGTGGCAGGAATATGTGAAAATGGATGGAATGTAAGGGTTTTTTCTTTTATATGTGATTTTTGATAAATATTATTAAATTATATATTCACTACACATATTATTGATTTTTTAATATAAATTAAATATATATACATTTTTATTTAAACCGCAAAAATTATCTAAAATTGATTAATTAATTTTTATCACATAACATCCATATAAAATTTTTTACAAAATATTTAACAATAATGGCTAGATTATGTTACATGACAACATGAATTTTGATCCTTCAATAATTAATAGATAAGACTTTTTTTTTCCACTCATCACATTTGAAATAAGATTTTATGTATATACTCATGGACGTTGGCAATTGATGAGAGTGTTTATTATTTTTTTGGTAAATGATTTATAAGTCCAAAAAATTAAAAAAAATTATAAATTTTTTTTTTTTACGAATTAACGATTTACTTTTTGACTTTAAAAATAAAACAACTTCCCTCATTCTTAAACAATTTATCTCCCATATATATATATATATATATATTTTTATAGATACTGAACTCATAAATCTTATAACTAAGAAACTAGTATTGAAATGTGGAGTGGAATTCCGAGTGCCCCTGTTGGCACGCTCCTGTTTTTGTGGTCTTAAGGTGGGTGACTCAAAGCACAGTTGTTTCTTGGATGTTTGTAGTTGACGTGGGCCACCAACTCAAGAACATCAGGACCCCAAAAGACTTACCATTTTCTTTTCTTTTAAAGTCCACGTGCAAGGTTTTTTATTTTATTTTTTTATAAGATATCTGTAGTTCTACAGCTATTCCAACCGAATTACGTAAAAGGAAAGCTGCAATTACTTCATTTTAAAATGTAACCACTCTGTCAACTTCTCTAAGACGTGATATTTGGCCAATACTTAATGCTAAGGTCATTCTTTGGATTGATGAGCCGACCCAATGTCACCGAAAGAGTAGATTTATTAGTGAGAAAGATACATATGAAACGAATTAAATGCAACGAATTAAATGCATTGAAATGACCACATTCATGTTTCATAAGGAGCCAATGTTAATCAGAGGCGTGCTGCATGGTGGCGGCCAAATAAACAAGGAGGGTAAGCCCATCGAATGGGATGGGTTTGGTGGCTGTCACATCTTGCCCAAACTCTTGGAATCTTCAAGATACTTTTTACCTTGTTTCTCTCTCTTTCTTTTACTCTCCAATAGAAAGGACACAGCACTGTGCGCTCCAAAAGATTCGCATCAAGGGTTGGTTGTCAGTCGGGATCTCCACTTCTCCCGCTTATGCCCTTTGGAACATTGCCTGGAAAATGACTCAGACTGCATAAAAGCTTTCTGTCCTTGTGGACCAGTTTTTTACTCCTGTAAACTAGCTACTCCATTAGTTTTTTTTTTTTTTTCTCAATGATCTCATTAATGACATATTAAGATATGGTCGTGATTAAAAGTGTTTTCAACCCTTCTAAAAGATTCTATCACCGGATCTCTGAAAACCAAAATAAATATCTGGTGCAATGAAAAGTAAAGTATAGCATAATTTTCATTGGACTAAACATGCCCTTCATGAATCTCGTAACAGCTTCTTACAGACAAAAAGTGACAAATGACAACTGGCTTGGTTCTCTTATCTGTATATTTTGCAGAGAACCCAATGTGGATATTAAATTGATGGATCAGAAAGGCCGTCTGAAAAGTTATCCCATTACCACTCATTAGCAACCCCTTTTTTCTTTCCACCAATTATTGTCGGATAAGCACTTTAACATCTCAGGAGAAGGTAAATGGTTTCATTTTCAGGAATAATCAAGTTTTCATTGCAAAATATGAAATTCATTAAAAGT